AAGAGTCTCATGTTAACACTAGGCCAAGAAGACTATCCGGCTTTATCTTACTTCTTATATAGACTCAATTGAGCCAAATGAAAAAAAGATAGATCGAGATAGAGTGGTTGAGTTATTTACCTTTCATACTGGTCCTGTTACTTTTGCTCGAGTGTATGCGTATGCGTATGTGTGCGTGTTAGCGTCTATATCAATACGGTTCCTAAATCAGAGTTGTCAAAAGTTTAATCTCATGTTCTGATCCTAAAGACCTAATGGACCAAGAGAAAGCCCTATTCGAGGCTGCGTAAGTCCGTAAACAAGTATGGTTGGGATAATGAGATATGAGCTTGTAAGCATGTAAGTCAAGTTACGAAACCACTTGTCTTAACCTCTCAGACTAGGGTCATTAATGTTTAACCCCTCAAAGAAAGGCAAGATTGGGGTTGCGTAATCCGGCATGTCTGGTTTGGTTGATGAGCTTACTCTAACATGTTGGGCGAATGTTTGGGAAGTTAGAACCATCACCAAGCCGACAAATTGAGTCGCCTTCTTTTTGACGGTGGCTCAACACCCTTTCTCTATTTCAATCTACCAATCAAGCATAACTAGTTCCTACTCAACTTTCTACCACTTTTCCTCACATTCAACGTATTTCTTAAGCTATTAATTTCAACAGCCTCTCTTATCTTTCTTTTAACCACAGACGTACCATAATCAGCAAACCTTCATTCACTTTCATACGAAATGAAAGTCCCCCTAACAATGAATAGATCAACCGTGACGTCCAATAACGCCAAGAATACAGTGGGGTACTTTGTTCTTATTATCACATCGAAACAGGTCATGATCATACTGCAATTTTTCAAAAGTCGGATAGCGTTTAGTATCGAATTGCCGTAGAGCCACACTGACTCCGGTTACTTTTAGGTTGGCTTGACAGTGAAGCTTTTCACGAAGAAGTGAAGGTTGGATTGATGCATTGCATTTCACCTCACTACACTTCAAGCAAGATTAATCTAATAAAAACGGCACTAAAGCCTCGAACTCACCCGTGACCCGATCAGCCTCACCCGTGATATTAGAGCCGTGGAGGCACGTATTGGAAGTCAAACTTTTTCAAAGTAAAACACGACTCTTGGCTAAACACTTAGTTAGTCTATGTCTCTTTAGGCAACGTAAGGACTCAGTTTTTCCCACAATCAGATGAGTAGGACTCAACTAGCCCTCCTTAAATCCGCCTAAACGACCAAGTGGGAATAATTTCTTATGCAAGAACTACCGATAGTCTAATATCGTTATAAATCAAGATTTTCCCAACTCATCATTTTGTTGGCAACTTTGCAACGATAGGCAACCTTGTGTTTTTATTAGTGACTATGATACACTATTGAGCTTGTTGCGGACATCAGAAGTATGCTTACTGTGGAGGGCTAACTTGTTTGCCTCTTAAACCACACGTCTAGAGTTTAAATCACCCGTTGGTAGGGCTGAGCTGATGAAGCCGCAAACTTAAAACTCGCGTAGAGTGTGTATAATTACAGCTTTCATCAATTCATCCTGCAGAAAGTGAGCATGAACCAAATATAAGAATCAGTCGAGATAGCCAAAGATGCACAATAAAGTTAATTATTTGGTTTCAACTTGTTTTCACAACTTTGTCAGGGTGACAAGGAGACCTACTCTGCTGTAGTTGTCATGAAAATTTTCAGCCTCTGAATGCTGCTTTTGATACAGTCTCAGGCGTTTTGCCAACACTGTTTGCAGAAGCGTCAATGAGAAGTGCAAGCCTTAGCACCGAGTTATGACTAGTCAAAGTGGAAAGTAAAGTCAATCTGTTGAGCTTAT